GTATGAACCAGTACGGGCTCAGATACTAGGAGGATCAGCTCTCCCTTCTTTAGAAGAGGTGTTTGCTCGACTTCGAGGACTTCTATTGGATCTACTAAGAACTCTAATATCTCAGATAGATCAGCCTTTGAAGTGTCAAGGAGCCGTGGTGTTAGAGGTGGAGCTCGGGGAGCTCAACCTGGCCGTGGTAGTAGCAGTGGTCCGGTATATGGCCAGAGTGGTGGTGGTGGATCCACATATAACCGTGGTAGTGGTCGTACTAGAGGTAGAGATTCAGGAGGAGCCCGTGGTAGAGGACGTGGCTCAAGTTCGAGGAGGTGTACTCATTGTGGTATGGATGGACATACCATTAATTATTGCTATGACTTGCATGGTCCACCCTCAACCTGGGCCAATCATGACATGACTAGTGACACCAGTTCCAGTTCTAGACAGGAGAATCGTTCAGCTGATCAGATGCCTCTTACATCCATAGATGGTTCCGAGAAGGAGATGGTGAGTGTTCCACGTGATGAGTATGAGAGGTTTGTCCAATCCACATCTCAGCAGAACGCGGCTACCTTTGCACACTCAAGTATGGCTTGTTTGGCATCCACACCCAATCCCTGGATTATTGACTCTGGAGCCTCCGATCACATGACTGGAACTCCAGGTGTGTTTTCTTCCATCTCTCATTACTCAACATCACAATCTGTTACCCTTGCTAACGGTTCCACATCCTCCATTTGTGGTGTTGGTAATGTTGACTTGGACCCTATATCCCTATCCTAGTTTTGTATGTCCCTAAATTTCCGTTTAACCTTATGTCTGTTAGTAAGCTGACCAAGTCACTTAATTGTTCCATTACCTTTTACCCTAATATGTGTGTTTTTCAGGATCTCAAGACGGGGATGAAGATTGGTGGAGGGCATGAAGCTGGTGGATTGTATTATCTTGACGGTGGTGGAAGAACATCAACAGCTCTCCAGTTATCTCTCTCTCCTCTCTGGTGGCACTGTCGATTTGGTCATCCTTTGCTGAAAGTTTTGAAATCTTTGGTTCCTTCGTTGAGTCAACTTTCTGTTTTAGATTGTGAATCATGTCAGTTTGGGAAACACCATCATGTTCCCTTTAGTTCTAGAGTTGATAACCATGTGTTGAGTCCTTTTTCTTTGATTCACTCGGATGTTTGGGGCCCTTATAAAGTGATATCATACAATGGATATAGATATTTTGTCATTTTTGTTGATGATTTTTCAAGGATGACATGGCTCTATTTAATGAAAGAAAGAAGTGAATTGTTTACCATCTTCCAGAAATTTTATGCTGAGATTCGCAATCAATTTGGTGTTCACATTAAAATTTTTCGTTCTGATAATGGTCGTGGATATTTATCTTCATCATTTCAAGAATACTGGGACCAACATAGCATTATACATCAGACCTCATGTACTTACACCCCCCACAACAAAACGGAGTGGCTAAGAGAAAGAATCGTCATCTCTTGGAAACAGCCCGATCCATCATGCATCACATGAATGTTCCCAAACCCTTTTGGAGTGATGCGGTGCTTACTTCTTGCTTCTTGATTAATCGGATGCCCACGTCTATCCTTGATGGTCATTCCCCAYTTACTACCTTGTCTTCGTTTCCTCTTTCTCCCCGGTTATTTGGGTGTGTCTGCTGCGTCCATAATTTGGGCCCCGGGAACGACAAGTTAGATGCACGATCCCTTAAATGCATCTTCCTTGGCTATTCTCGAACCCAAAAAGGTTATAAGTGTTACCATCCTAGTTCTCAACGTTCCTTTGTGTGTGCTGATGTTACCTTCTTTGAGTCTACGTTTTTCTTGGGGTCTGGTGATGCTTCTTCCTCTTCATCACCTCCCCCTCTTCCACTTCCAGTTGCTGATTTTGTTCCCCTTGTTCCAGCCGTGACCAAGTCCTTGCCTCCGGTGCCACCACCTATTGAACGCCCACCTATCCGTCAAGTGTATACACATCGCCCACGTGTACCGGCTGCTACTCCTCCGGCTCCATCACCGTCGACAGATCCGGCAGTTGTCTCCACACCARCYCCRAACCCAGTATCTGATCTTGATCTTCCCATTGCCTTGCGGAAAGGTAAACGCACTTGCACCCTTCATCCTATTTCTAATCATGTTTCACTCACTCACCTTTCCGCTTCCCATCGCCAGTTTATTTCTTTGTTATCCTCAGTTGTTGTTCCTAAGGATGTCCAAGAAGCCCTTGCCTCTCCAGGGTGGTGTCGTGCAATGGAAGAAGAGCTCCATGCTCTACTTCATAATCATACTTGGGAACTCACCGCTCTTCCTCCTGGAAAGCAGGCTGTCGGTTGTAAGTGGGTTTATACTGTTAAGTATTTDCHTGATGGTAGTGTTGAGMRCCTGAAAGCWCGATTGGTTGCAAAAGGGTACTCCCAAACCTATGGTATTGACTACACAGAGACCTTCTCCCCAGTTGCTAAGATAGGGTCGGTTCGTGTTGTGATCTCTCTTGCAGCTATGTATGATTGGCCCCTATATCAGCTTGATATCAAGAATGCCTTTTTGCATGGTGATTTGCTCGAGGAGGTTTACATGGAGCAACCACCAGGGTTTGCTGCTCAGGGGGAGGATGGTAAGGTATGTAGACTCAAGAAGGCTATATATGGGCTTAAACAGTCTCCTCGAGCATGGATTGGTAGGTTTAGTGAGGTGGTAAAGAGGTTTGGTATGAAATAGTGCCAAGTTGATCATTTCATCTTCAGTCATGACTCTCCGGTAGGAAAAATACTATTGGTGGTGTATGTAGATTGTTATTACCGGGAATGATAAAATGGGCATTGACAAGTTGAAGACTTTTCTACAGGAACATTTTCAAACAAAGGACCTTGGTAAATTGAAATATTTMTTGGGGATARAASTAGCAAGGTCTAAGCACGGTATTAATTTGTGTCAGAGGAAATATGTGCTTGATTTGCTGGAGGAAAAAGGTTTGTTAGGTGCTAAACTAGCTGAAACACCTATGGAAACAAATACTAAGTTGAGCAGTGATATGGGTGAAGTGCTTGAAGACCCTGGCAGATACCGAAGACTTGTAGGTAAACTAAACTACCTAACCATTACTCGGCCAGATATTTCATTTGTGGTTAATGTGGTAAGTCAATTCATGCAGAAACCTTTGGTTCCTCATTGGAATGCGGTTCTAAAAATTGTGAGGTATTTAAAAGGGGCTCCTGGTCGTGGTTTGATATACAAAAGTGGTGGAACACTTGAAATAGAAGGGTATACTGATGCTGACTGGGCTGGTTCTATGTCTGATAGACGGTCTACCACAGGTTATTGCACTTTTCTGGGGGGTAATCTGGTGACATGGAAAAGTAAGAAGCAGACAGTCATGGCAAGAAGCAGTGCCGAGGCAAAATATAGAGCTATGGCACATACTGCTTGTGAATTAGTGTGGCTAAGGAACCTTCTACAGGAGATAGGATACAACATTAATACTCCAATGAAGCT